TTTTGCTGGATACACAATTCTTGGTTGGAACCCATTTTCTTTCAGTGTTTGAAATATGTTATTCCAGGATCTTCTAGCTTTCAGAGTCTGTGTTGAAAGATCAGCTGTTATCCTGATTGGTTTACCCCTAAATATAATCTGCTTCCTTTCTCTTGTAGCTTTTAAAATTCTCTTCTTATTCTGTATGTTGGGCATCTTCATTATAATGTGTCTAGGTGTGGATCTCTTATGATTTTGCACATTCGGCGTCCTGTAGGCTTCTAGGATTTGGGATTCTGTCTCATTCTTCAAGTCTGGGAAGTTTTCTCGTATTATTTCATTGAATAGACTGCTCATTCCTTTGGTTTGGTCCTCTATACCTTCCTGTATCCCAATGACTCGGTCTCTTTATGTTATCCCATATTTCTTGGATGTTCTGCTCATGGTTTCTTAACAGTCTTACTGAGCTGTCTATGTTCTTTTCCAGTTGAAATACTTTGTCTTCATTGTCTGATGTTCTATCTTCTAAGTGTTCTACTCTGCTGGTAGTATTCTCAATTGAGTTTTTAAGTTGGTTTATTGCTTCCTGCATTTCTAGGATTTCTGTTTGTTTGTTTTTTATAACCTCTATCTCCCTGTATAGTTGATCTTTCGCTTCTTGGATTTGTTTATGTAATTCATTGTCGAAGTGATCTTTCACTGTCTGATTTTGCTGTCTAATGTCTTCCTTGAGACTCCAGATCATCTGAAGCATGTATATCCTGAATTCTTTATCTGACATTCCATCTGCTGCAGCTGTTACCTCTTCTAAAGTTGCGTTGACCTGCATTGCTTGTGGTCCTTTCTTTCCTTTTCTTTTCATACTGCTCACGTTTTTTCTGCTTGGTGAAACTGTTGTGTTATTGAAATTTTCCCCCTATATATTGATATTGCTCTTGTATAGTTGAAAAGTCTCCCTTGCAGGGGCGGGCGGCGGATGTGCTCCTCCTCCAATTGGGGTGATCTGTCTACCATGCTCACAGGCCGCTGGGCCTGTTCTGCTGGTCGGTCGCAGGTCTGCCTACCTTGCAGGCGTGGGCGGCGGCTCTGCTCTGCCCTTACTCCAATTGGGGTGACGTGTCTACCATGCCGGCGGGTCGCTGCGTCTGTTCCGGGCGCGGGAGGCGGCTCTGCTCTGCCCCTACTCCAATTGGGGTGTCGTAACTACCACACCGGCAGGCCGCTGGGCCTGTTTCGGGCGTAGGCAGCGGCTCTGCTCTGCCCCTACTCCAATTGGGGTGACATGACTACCATGCCGGCGGGTCGCTGGGCCTGTTCCGGTCGCGGGCGGCGGCCCTGCTGTGCCACTCTGGCTTGATGACAAAGTGAGAGAGACTCAGGTGTTTGTGACTCACTTTCTTTACCAGGAGACCAACTGTTTCAATATTGGTACATTTATAATGTTAAAAAAATTTAAATAAAGCTCTTGCTCCCGTTTTGTCTCCTCTTCTAGCCAGTTTTTACTTCCCTGACCCTTTTTGTTACTTTCTCACATGACAATCAAACATTTTCTTAAGCTGTAAATATAAGCAATAAATATGTCCATTTTTTCTATAAAGTGAGCCTAATCTATAGATAGTTCTCTCCATTTTCTTTTTTACCTACTGATACAGCTTGCAGATCTTTTGATAACAATGTTAACAATACATACAGAGCTTCTCCCTTTTTCTTTTTAAGTAGCATTGTATTAAAGTGATACCTCTGAAATACAAACCAAGTATGCCTCTCCTGCTTCCCCTTTTAAAATAGAGACATTATTATGTATATTTTGCTCTTTATAGCACTCTGTCATCACTGTTGTTAGTAGGGAAGTGTGCAGCTTTCTGAACATGGTAGTGTTAAGGATGTATATTAATTTTAACATTCTATGATTAATTTTCACACAGAGTTTTAAGATACCCGCCCCAAGGAGGGAGAGGTGTTGAGATATAAACACTTTCAGACATCACTGATGGAGGTGTAAATGAATTTGTCCTTGTTCAGAGTCCTGTATGGATCTATCAGGAACCTGAAAAATGGCTCTGCTCTTGCACACCTGGGTTTCATTCATAGAGCTTTGACATTAAGTCGTGCTGAGAGAGAGAGAGAGTCAAATTTATAACAGTGTTGCCATAGTCTAATGTTTATGTCTCCCCAGAATTCATATGTTTAAACCTAAGCTCCAGTGCAATGACATTAGGAGGTGTGCTGTTGGAAGGTGATTAGGCTCCAGAAAAGTAATTTGTCCTTTCCACCACATGAGGACATGGCAGAAAGCTTCCATCTGAGAACCAGGAAATGGGCCCTCACCAGACTCTAATTCTGGAGCATCTTGATCTTGGATCTCTAAGCCTCCAGAACTGTGAGGAATAAATTTGTTTATATGCCACACGGTCTGGTATTTCATTATAACAGCTCAAATAGAATAAGATGTCCACTATATAAGTTACAAGTATACTAAATGTCCAACAATAGAGTAGTAGTTAGCTGTATATGTACATGATGGGATTCTCAGGCAGATATTAAAATTAATGCTTTTAAAAAATGTCAGTGTCTAGAGAAAGTATTTATGATATGTCGTTGAATGAAAGGAGCAAGACACAGACTGTTTTACCAAGTGTGATCCTGTGAAAGGAAAGATCAGTTGTACCACAGGGATTGCATCAACAGATGCAAGTTTGTATCAGTGTGTATAGGGTGGGGTAGGGAAGTAAGGAAGCCATGTTGTCTTTTCTGTATCCTAGTAATGAGAATATATGAGTTTTAAAGTGGCCACAGTTTGGGGTAAAGACAATGTTATCTGCATATACTTTATTTGGAAAACCACGATTTTATTATATATCTTGATTTTTTTATTACTATCATAAATATTTAAAATGTGTTGGAGTTATGGAGCTCTCAGAGCAGAAAGTTTAAGTTCATTTCTCTAAATTTTGACAGTGGTTGCCTAGTAGTAGCATTATAGGTCACTATTTGTTTTATTATTTCCTGAACAAATGCAAATAACTTGCTTTATAAACAAACTGGATCACAAAGGATATCGGATATCATAGTATGCTAAGAAGGCATTGTTATGGTTTGGATCTGGAATGTCTCCTGGAAGCTCTGTTGAAGGCCTGGTCCCCAATGCTGCAGTGTTCAGGGGTGGGGCTTTGGGTCAGGGCTCTGACCTCATCAATGGATTAATCCTTTGGTAGCTGAACAGACTAGGTGATTTGGTGAAGACTACAGGCAGGTGGGGCATGATTGGAGGAAGTACGTCACTGGAGAAATGCCCTTGGCACTGTCTTGTGTCTGTTTCCTTCCTCTTTCTTTCTGCTTCCTGGTTCCATGATCTGAGTACCTTTCTTCCACCATGCCCTTCCGCCATGACATTCTGCCTCACTCAGGCCCAAAGCAATGAAGCCAGTCAATTGTGGACTGACACATATGAAATCATGAGCCAAAATAAGTCTTTCCTCTTCCAAGTTATTCTTGTTGGGTGTTTTAGTCACAGTGATGAAAAACTGAGTTAACGTAGAATTTATATACCCAGGGGTAGTGGAGAACCTTTAGAAATATTTTAAGCAGGAAAATGACATGATTGTTTTCACAAGAATATGCTCTAGATCAGAATAAGTAATCACTTTGACTTAAGTTTCCTCATCTATATAACAGGAATAATAAAATCTATCTAGTAGGCTTTTTAGGGGAAATTAAGTAGGAATAAATGATGCTTTTAGGCCAGTTGAAGTTTCAAATAATATAACCACATTTCTGAAACTGTGTATCAGTGAGGCGAAAAAGTAAGCTTTTCAGAAATGAGAAAAGTCTGTATTCAAGAAATTCAGATCACTTTTATAAATTTGTGTTTATAATTGTGACATAATTCTCTCATCTTACAATATCACTGAACTTGAAGTTGACCTATTTTTCCAGCATTTTATTTGTGTCCATACTAACTAACCATCTTGTTAGTCATTCATGAACTTCAACCCAGTGAACAAATGCTCTTTGCACATAGCATATAACACATTTTTTTGTGGGGGTGTTTGGGTAGGATGGAGATAACTGTGTGTAAGAGCTTATTTTGTGAGCATTTTATTTTCTGTGATGAGAGGTCTTTCTAACTGCTTGATCTCTCAAAATGGTTCTTTGCCCTGGCTTTGTAAAATTTTCTTCATCCCTAAGTTTGTTCTTTATGCAGATTCTTCATAATCACTTAGAAAAGGAAATCTTGTTTTATTATGTTTTACATGCCTGTTTAAGACACTGAATATTGTCATCCCATCTGTATTAGTTAATACAGACCCTTAGCTTCTTTAGAAGGTGGATTAACATTTGGCATATCTGTAGATGTGTCCACAGCTCCTCAGGAGCACACCTGACCCCTAGTGACCAAAGAAGGAAAAGTGAAGGATAAGAGGAATGAGAGGGTTAAGAAACTGTTCACAGGAAGATGGTGCTCCTGGTTTCCTCTCACCTTGGAAGCGGAGAACATTTTCCTGTCGTGAACTGATGAACGGATTCTCTCATGGCAGTGGTTATAGCTGTGGAATGTCTGAAAGAGGCTGCTAAGGGGAATAGAAATGCTGCTCTCATCAACGAAATGTTGGCTTCTCAGATGTGGTACCCATAGTTTTCAAATAGTTTTGGGCAGCAGAGCTTTAGTGACTGTAAATGTCAACTACTTGTGGGGTGGGGGTGAGATGGGAAGAGGTCATTGTCCGTGGAGAGCTGTCACTCTCTCCCCTCATGTATGTTCCTTCTGGGCAATCTGATGGAGCCTGGGAAGCGTTCTGGGAAGTCCAGGTAGAGAAGTCTCTACGGAAGGACCTTGTGTAGTCCTGCACTGGATGTCCAGTGTGCAGACAGCGCAGGACATCTCTTTCAAAAACCACCTATTTTTTTGTATCGGTTACCTCTGACAATAAGAAATTGAATCTCATTGTCATGTTTCAGTTTGGAAACATATTTATTGTTTCAGATGAGCATTTCTCCTCTTTTGTTTGTCTTCTCTCTAGATAAAGAAGAAGCAGCAGGATGTGGTTAGATTTCTGGAAGCCAACAAGATAGAGTTTGAAGAGGTGGATATCACAATGTCAGAAGAACAGAGGCAATGGATGTACAAAAACATCCCCCCAGAGAAGAAGCCTGCTCAGGGCAACCCGCTGCCACCTCAGATATTTAATGGCGACCGATACTGTGGAGTAAGTGGCTGGACTGTTACCATATCATTTCATTTTTTTACTCATAGCACATCAACTAGAGTGCAGCTGTTTTTTTTTTTGTTTGTTTTTTTTTTTACAGTGAAGACTGTGACCTCTTCACTCAGGGCCATAATCCAAAGAGGGAAAGCTGGAGGGCATATGAATCCAGCATCACATTCAGTGTGTGCATGTGAGTGGTTGTGTGGTGTCTTGGGTGTGAGTCTGTGTCTGTCTTCCTGTTTCTTTCTGCTTTGAAAGAGGGGGTGGGAAGGGAAAATGTGTGTATGTGTACTTGATACGTTCTAAATGAAGTTTATCTTTCAATTAATACATTTGGTGGGGAAGAGTAGAAGAGGGAATTATTTTTGAATCTTTATCCCTCCGTGGTATAAATAACTACTGAAAACTGATTATAACTCAGAGTTCCATTTTTTATGATTATGAACCAGAGGGATTCCTATGAACTTCTAAAACCTATTAGGTGTCTTTCTGCTATAAGTACCATTTAAGAAGGTGAAGATAATCTTGTTTAATTATCTACCTACTGTCTTAGTCCTTTTGTTAAAAAAACATTTGGTGAACTTCTTTCTAACGAGTAGGTTAGGATTTGCCTTTTGCTGTAGCTTTAAGTACATAGGTCAGTGTTTATTTTGGGACCATAGTTCGTTTGATGAGGCCTGGAGAAGGAGAAGGAGAAGGAGCTGCAGTGCTGAGGTACTTGAGACCATAAATAGCGGGGTTGTCTTTAGGGTGGAGTAAGGGATGATAGTGTGCTTTAGTGACTTCAGAGGAAGCAGTTGCCTTTCCCCAGGGCTCACACAGAATAAGAAGTTGGAAAGTAAAGCCATGAATAGACTGCACAGCTTTCTTAGCTGTAGATGTGTGAGGAGAATCCTGAATGTGGACTAGGCATAACTGGTCCTGGTACTGCCTTACATTGGCCAAGATACCTTTGGAAATTTACTTATCTTTTTAAGCCTGTTTCTCATCTTTAAGCAAAGGAAAGTAGTATCTGTCTTACCTCCAAGGATGTCTTGTCACTGTTTCTAAAGTCCTTCTTATAATACATTATAATATGAAAATAAAGTTTATTATTTTGTGGGTTTTTTAATATCACATATTTTATCTCATATTTTACTGAGTGAAGTGTATTATAACCAAGGCGTGTACTATTCATGCATGACTGCAGAGAATAGAGCGTCCTATTATGCTTGTAGACCAAAGTGAGGAAACAGTTGAAAATAAAACTAAAAATCAAGTAGAGCTAGAAAGCTTAAAACAAAAATCCAGCGATTTTCTCTCCCTAGGACAGGTACGAAAATACCTCTGTGCCTTTTGTAGTGTGGGGGTACTTTCTGGGTGTAGAATTCTAGGTTGAAAGAATTTAAATGCTGTCGCTTCATTATCATCTGCTTTCCAGAACTGCAAGTGAAATGTCTAATGCTGTTTTCCTTGATCTTTTATATGTTTGGGTCAGTCTCTTCCATATAAAGTTTTAAGGTCTCTTATTCAGGTATGTACTCAAAATTTTTTGGTAAATTACTGTCATGTACACTATTTGCATTCATTGTGGTGAGTGCTCAGTGTGCCTTTATAATCAAGAAATTGTATGATTGTATTATTAAATATGTTCTTGTATTGTTTTCTCTGAAACACTTCTCCCTAGTTTTTCCCTGTTGCCTTTGTCTTGAGTGCCTTTTAATTTGGGCATTAGATTTTTCATATAATTTTCTAATCTGCTTTTTCCCTATTATCTCCCTCTTTGATTTTTTGCTCCTTCTTTAACTCTTAATTCTTTCATTTAATTTTTATGTCATTCCCCGCCCCCCTTGTTTTTTAGTCTTTTTTTTTTTTTTTTGCTTTTATTAGTGCATTACATTATACATAATAGTTGGGTTCATTTTGACAAAATCATACATGTATGGTTTTAATTCACTCCATTTTAGTCCTCAGTGCCTCTTCTTTCTTTTCCCTCCTCCCTCCCACTATTCTCTTTCCTCTGCTGGTCTTCCTTTCACTCATTTGTTTATTTTTATTTTTTTACTTTATTTTTTAACAACTAATAATTTTTTTATTTATATATGACAGCAGAATGCATTACAGTTCTTATTACACATATAGAGCACAATTTTTCATATCTCTGGTATTCACACCAATTTGTGTCTTCATACATGAACTTGGGATAATAATGATCATCACATTCCATCATCAACTATAACCCCATACCCCCTCCTTTCCCCTCCTACCCCTCTGCCCTATCTAGAGTTTGTCTATTTCTCCCATGCTCCTTCTATTTATCCCACTATGAATCAGCCTCTTTATATCAAAGAAAACATTCAGCATTTATTTTTTGGGGGATTGGCTAACTTCACTTAGCATTATCTTCTGTAACTTCATCCATTTACCTGCAAATGCCATGATTTTATTCTCTTTTATTGCTGAGTAATATTCCATTGTGTATATGTGCCACATTTTTTTTAGCCATTCATCTATTGAAGGGCATCTAGGTTGGTTCCACCGTTTAGCTATTGTGAATTGTGCTGCTATAAACATTGATGTGGCTGTTTCCTTGTAGTATGCTGTTTTAAGTCGTTTGGGTATAGACCGAGGAGAGGGATAGCTGGGTCAAATGGTGGTTCCATTCCCAGATTTCCAAGGAATCTCCATACTACTTTCCATATTGGCTGCACTAATTTGCAGTCCCATCAGCAATGTATGAGTGTGCCTTTTTCCCCACATCCTTGCCAACATTTATTGTTGTCTGTGTTCTTAATAGCTGCCATTCTTACTAGAATAATATGAAATCACAGAGTAGTTTTGATTTGCATTTCAGTTATTTGGCTCATTTATTGTTTTTGTGTGTGTGTGTGTGTTTAGCTTTTTGAGTTCTTTATACACCCTGGAGATTAGTGCTCTATCTGATGTGCGAGTGGTAAAAATTTGCTCCTAAGATGTAGCCTCTCTATTCACCGCACAGATTGTTTCTTTTGCCAAGAAGTAGCTTTTTAGTTTGAATCCATCCATTTATTGATTCTTGATTTTAATTCTTGTGCTATAGGAGTCTTATTAATGAAGTTGGGGCCTAATCTGACATGATGGAGATTTGGGCTTACTTTTTCTTCTGATAGGCGCAGTGTCTCTGGTTTAATTCCTGGGCTTTGATCCACTTTGAGTTGAGTTTTGTGCATGGTGAGGAATAGAGACTTAATTTCATTTTGTGAATATGGATTTCTAGATTTCTCAGCACCATTTGTTGCAGAGGCTGTCTTTTCTCTAATGTATGTTTTTGGCATCTTTGTCTAATATAAGATAACTGTAGTTTTGTGGGTTAGTCTCTGTGTCCTTTATTCTGTCCACTGATCTACCAGTCTATTTTGGTGCCAATACCATGCTGTTTTTGTTACTATTGCTCTGTAGTATAGTTTAAGATCTGGTATAGTGATGCCACCTGCTTCAGTCTTCCTGCTAAGGATTGCTTTAGCTATTCTGGATCTCTTATTTTTCCAGATGAATTTCATGATTGCTTTTTCCACTTCTATGAGTAATGTCATTGAGATTTTAATTGGGATTGCATTAAATCTGTATACTGCTTTTGGTGGTATGGTCATTTTGACAATATTAATTCTGCCTATCCAAGAACAAGAGAGATCTTTCTTTAATTTCTTTATTTAACATTCTGTAGTTTTCGTTGCAGATGTCTCTCACCTTTTTTGTTAGGTTTATTCCCAAGTATTTTTTTTTTATTTGAGGCTATTGTAAATGGGGTAGTTTTCCTCATTTCCTTTTCAGAGGATTTGTTACTGATATACAGAATTGCCTTTGATTTGTGGGTGTTGATTTTGTATCTTGCTACTTTGCTGAATTTATTTACTAGTTCTCGAAGTTTTCTGGTGGAATTTTTTGGGTCTTCTAGGTATAGCAAATAATTTGAGTTCTTCTTTATCTATTCATATCCCTTTAATTTCTTTCATCTGTCTAATTGCTCTGGCCAGTGTTTCAAGAACTATGTTAAATAGAAATGATGAAAGAGGACATCCCTGTCTTGTTCCAGTTTTTAGAGGGAATGATTTCAATTTTTCTCCTTTAGAATGATGTTGGCCTGGGGCTTAGCATAGATAGCTTTTATAATGTTGAGATACATTCCTGTTATCCCTAGTTTTTCTAGTGTTTTTGAACATGTATGGGTGTTGTATTTTGTCAAATGCTTTTTCTGCATCAATTAAGATGATCATTTGATTCTTTAAGTGTATTGATGTGATGAATTACATTTATTGATTTTCATGTATTGAACCAACCTTGTATTCCTGGGATGAACCCCACTTGATTGTGGTGCACTATCTTTTTTATATGTTTTCGTATTCAATTGCCAGAATTTTATTGAGAAAATTTTGCATCTATGTTCATTAGAGATATTGGTCTGAAGTTTTCTTTCTTTTATGTGTTTTTGCCTGGTTTTGGAATCAGGGTGATATTGGCCTCATAGAATGAGTTTACAAGTGCTCCCTCTTTTTCTATTTCACAAAATAATTTGTAGAATGTAGGTATTAGTTCTTCTTTATAGGCCTTGTAGAACTCAGCTGTGTATCCATCTGGTCCTGAGCTTTTCTTCGTTGGTAGGCTTCTGATGACATCTTCTATTTTCTTGCTTGAAATTGATCTGTTCAAATTGTGTATATCATCCTGATTCAATTTGGGCAACTCATATGCCTCTAGAAATGTCAATGCCTTCCATATTCTCTATTTTATTAGAATACAAGTTTTCAAAATAATTTCTAATTATCTTATGTATTTTTGTAGTGTCTGATGTGATATTTCCTTTTTCATCCCATATGTTAGTGATTTGAGTTTTCCCTCTGCTTCTCTTTGTTAGCATGGCTAAGGGTTTGTCAATTTTATTTATTTTTTTGAAGAACTAACTTTTTGTTTTGTCATCTTTTTCACTTGTTTTTTTGTTTCAATTTCATTGATTTCAGCTCTGATTTTAATTATTTCCTGTGTCC